CCACCAGGTTTGTCGCAAAGCTTGTTCTGACTGAGTGTAATATCCACTCACGGTTATCATAAAGGCAGTCGGTACGATGGACTCGGTAAAACCTACGCAGCTGAAGTCAGTATTTGCCACAGTAGACATCTCGGCTATGTATATGGCTCTTAAGCGGGGCACTTTGTTTTAACGGTGTACATATTTTACTCCGCAGAACCGCGACAGTATTTGTTGGAAACATAGGACTCGGCACTGACCGAGAAAGAATCTCTGTACCAATAACCCCTTCCAATCCTTAACCCCGGCAGTGGAAGCGCAGATAACAGCCCAAATCATCGCAGCCGGTCCCAACACATAGTTTGACCGAAATCGTTGCAGTAAATACGTCATGGGATATGAGCCTACCAATTGTCCAAAGTAAAAAATGGAAGTCGCCCAGCTCAATCGTGAAGTGTTTGTCGTAGGAGGTGTAGTAGACGTGTCAACGATGGATAATTGAAGGTCCTTGGTCATACCGAACAATGCTGCGCTTCCAAGTATGGCTTTGTCGTAATACACGAGGCCATAACCGATAACCATGGCAGGCATAAGGAAGAGGTCGATTTTGCGCAGGACGCGCCGGGCGATTTTGGGGTCGATTGGAAGAGCCTCCTCGCCGAGCATTTCAGCAGCAGCAGCAGCAGCCGTGGGAATCATTTTTTGCACTTTGGAATGTTTTGCTTCTTCTCTCGTAACATGATCTTGAGCAGCTGTTTGGGTGGGCGACATGTTTGGCGGCTCCAGAATCGGTGAACGAGTTATTTGCAATAGCTCAACGCGTTTATATAATCCCCTTGTACATCTGTTTAGCGTAATACCGCGTGGTTGGCAAGCACGCAATAAAAATCCCCACTCGTGCGATCGATTATCGGGACCCAAGACCAGAATTTTTGGCCTCAGGGTTTATCGCAACTCGGCACTTGAGCTAATGCCGACGGCATAGTTGATTAGCGAGATTGCCACGTGATTGCCTTTCTGATGGGGTCCCGCAAGGGGGACTGAAAGTAGTATGCAAGGCCGGGACCCCAACGCCAAATCGCTCAATCTGAAGGTTCCTTACCCAATAACCATATTATTTTCGGTTACTTTTATATTTCAGAACCCTTGATTTCCTTCCGGAACAAAAGAAGTTACGTTAAATGCTTTTTTGGGGTAGTTCCTGATAGATGAAGCATTTCTAATGTTGGTGTTGGCATTCGGGCCCTGTATCCCACTTTCAATGCTCCTTGAGAGGGGTGTTCTGCGGGTTTCCCGCGTTATTGGAGCAAAGTATGGTGCAATGCCAAGGATGAATCACGTTTTCTTCGCACCAAGACCAATTAAATATTGCTCCTATCTCCGCAACTAGTATGTAGACAAAATGAAATTGATGCTGAGACCGTAGTATGGAGGCCTAAAAAATTCGGTCTTGACTGCGCTCTCTATGTGACCAGAATTGATAATCATAAATTCCCCCACCTTGTTGACTAGAAAGTCAGGTTAACAAGTCACTGCATGTATGTAGGTTGAGTATCGATACTTGAACTTTCTCTTACTTCCTAAGCTATCATGGCGACAACTACGTCCACTGTTACACTCCCTTATATACAGATTCCTGAGACTTCAGAGGATCTGGATTGGGCGGACCTTGTAACGCTTGATCTTTCAAAATTTGATAAGGCCGGCGGAAAACAAGAGCTGGTGGAAGAGTTTCGACGAGCGATTGAGGAAGTAGGTAAGTTCGAATATCTCGAAAAGGTGGAGGATGTGATGATAGGTCCGTTAATGGCCTGATGGTATTCGATACTGATCGAATTTGAATAGGGTTTTTCTACGTCACTGGGCATGGATTGAGTAGAGAAGATATTGATACACAATTTGCACTTGCACAGTCAACGCTTGCCCTTTCAGATGAAGAGAAAAAGCTATTTCGTGCGGCATTGGAGAAGGGCGATTATAACGGTACTTGGTGCATGTCCGTCCATTCAAACACAACTCACAATCCCTTCAGGTTGGAAACCTGCCGGAATTCGCGACCTCATACCTGGCGTACGTGATAATTTTGAGATTTACAACATCCCCAAATTCATCCCATCGCACGCAAACCGCGCACATCCAACCGTTGTCAAGGAGCATTGGAGTACCATTGAAAGCTTCTCAAAGCGTGTCCATGAGCAGATCGTCAAGAGGCTACTTGTTATTTTTGCGATTGCCCTAGAGTTGGAGGACGAAGAGTACTTTATTAAAAATCACCGTTATGACCAGGAGAGCGGTGATCATCTGCGATATATGAAGTACTATCACAGAAGCGAAGAGGAGAACCAAAAGCTAGGTGGTGTGTGGCTGAAGGGGTAAGTATCGATACGCTTTATTTCCCGTGATGTTTTTTTGAGTTGAAAATCTGAATCAATTTTTAACTTGCCGCAAACAGACACTCGGATATGGGCTCCTTGACCCTTCTCTTCCGACAACCTGTTGCAGCTCTTCAGATCCTCTCCCGCGAAGGTACCTGGAAATACGTGCGGCCCTCCACAGATGCTATAACAGTCAATCTAGCTGACGCGCTTTCCTTCCTGACCAACGGCTACCTTAAGAGCAGTATCCATCGAGTAGTGGCGCCACCAAAAGATCAAGCACATGTAGACCGACTTGGCGTCATTTACATGGTCCGAATCGAAGATGAAACAGAGTTGGTATCGATTTCTGAGAGCCCAGTGTTGAAGAGATTAGGGCTTTTGAAGGATGGAGAGGGTGGTATCATAGGGGAGGATGGAAAGATTGTCAAGGCAGGGGAGTGGGTTAGGGGTCGGGTAATGAGAAATCTGGGGGAGAGGAGGATAGGTGAGGGCAAGGGGGAGAAAGGCGATAATGAAGAGAGTGAAGTGGAGATTGTAAAGGGTATAAAGATCAAATATTACGAGTAGATATTGGAATATCTCTTTATTCTGGCACCGCTGTAGCCACCTATGAGGAAGCTTCGCCTGTGAAACCGGAAACGGTTGGTTACTTATTGGTGCCTTTCATTAAACTGGGATCCACCTCTCTATATAAAAAAGCCTCTCAGGTCGTCCTAGTTACCTGGTCTAGTAATAGGTGTAGATATATTACACTGACATAATGAACGATATGTAGAGGACTAATCCATATAAAGTGTATTGGGATATATGGTCTAAATCACAATGTCATCTTATACCTTAGCTTATTAGTAAGTATATTAGCCACATGTAAACCTATGACTAGATGAGGTAACTAGGACCGGCCTAAAGGTGTTTATTGTCTGGAGGGGTGACCCTTAGATAAATGAATACGATTATATCGTGCTGGCGATAAGTGAATTGTTATTTTTGTTTGATTATGTGGATGCCTAAAAGTATCCTTACCTAGGCCCAAAAATGAAATATTAAGTGAAAGATAAACGCTGGCCGAGAGGTGAAATATTCTGAGGATTTCATCAGTCACTGGAGCATCACAGTCTACTCTTTGGAGATCTATTTGTTAAGATCATTCGCACAAGGGCTCGGGTGAATAGATTTGCACATGGTATTTAAAGGTACCACACCCCAAAGAATCCTCGATTTCATTCATCGAATTTACACCATCGACTTCCCACATCTACCGCGAAGCATCTATATCCGGCGGCCACCCCCACAACAAAACAACTACAGTATGACATCGCGACAATCAAATAGCCAGGCTGCCCTAGCTTCCGTTCCACGGCACGAGATCCTACATGCCCTTCGTCAATGGCGAGAAGGACAATACATATTACGACTTTTCATAAACTGCCAGTACGAGAAGCCTTTCCACGGGCTATTCTTTCAGACTACGGAAAAGCCCCAGATTTAATGACGAATCCGTGCCGACAAGCCAGAAAGAACGATCTAAATCTTGTATTTTGGTAAAACCAACAAGGGATATCACGGTCTGCCCGTTCTACATGCAAGTTTTGCGGTCGCATGGGCCACATCATGAGTAGGTTTCTCCAGGCTAAACGGTCTGTCAGGGCTGGGGCTGACCGGGTTCGCGTGTGTGGATCTTTCGCCCAGCATTAGATCGCCATATCTGTCGCCAAAGAGGTAGGAGCTGCTGAAGACATAACGACCGCAACGAAGTAAAGGAATTTTCCCGGAAACGCAGTGCAATTGCACGAAATGATAGATGTTGAGGTGGGGTAACGGTAAATTATCAAGTGTACAGGTCTCCGATCGTAAATAACGCGCTACACGGCCATTGGTGGACGCGTCTACGGTCCACGAAAGCCACAGTCTAACCCGGTTTAGGTAAGCTGGCATGCGCGTCACTTACGCGTGTCACGTGAAACCTATTAAGCAGGTGGTTGCAGTATGAATAGTATGATTGATGTTTCAGTTGATATAGCGATATTTCCCATATTTCTATAATATTTCACAATCCCAAATAGATCATGGCTTGTTCTGCAAATATTTGTCCGCCTACCGCCACCCTTAGGATTCACACTCATTCCGATTTCAAGAGGTTTCTGAAGCTACGAGACATCAGCTTTGTACCGGCGGGCAGGGCTTCTCTAGGTATAAAATAGTATCAAGATACCACATCGCGTGGCATTCTAAGACCTTAATCACCCACCGAATCACCGCTAAGTGAGAATGTTAAACTAACTTTGTACCCGCCAATCCAGGTGCTCGTTGTCGCAACTCTTAGCACTTGAGCTATTCTTCAGGTGTTGAAAGAAGCTCAAGTGCAATAGTTAGTGAACCTGAAGGGAGTGGGCAACAGAGGACGCGAAAAATGCTGCACGCACGCCTCCAGACAGAAAACTGAGCAAAACAAATCTAATAGAGCAAAAACAGGGGTTGGTTGGGTGCAGGATACCCGGGCAGACTGTGGTTCCAGGTTAACACGATATAATCACGTGAAGCCGACACGTGACACCCTCCTCTATGTCTACACAGTATGACCCTTCGACATCCCCCCGAGCGGTGAATTTGACCAAAAGAAGTGGATTTTAGTAAAAAAAGGACTGCCCACCACAGGAATCGAACCTGTGATCTTCTCATAGCTTGCTTGGGATTAATAAGTAGTATACTAGTGAGACGCTATACCACTTAGCCAGGCGGGCTGTTATATGATTTGTTGGGGTCCCGATCAAATTAAATGGTATAAATGTCAAGTAAAACAAAGGGGGGGAAACGGTGAGGAGACGCCTAAAAATGTTGAACAAAATGACAAAATTCTTTTGTGGGAGGGGTGTGCTTCTCCACCGTTATCGATATCGACGACACTAACGTACATCTCCACTTAACGAAACAGCCCCGGAAGCGGAGCAATGGCGAAGTCCTGTTGGATCTAAGCAATAATAATTTTATTACATGGCGGCTTTGTCGAAAACTTCTTTGACTCTCATGTGATACATAATGCTTCTCAAAGTAAAGTACCTAGACAACTCGATTTTCCACCTGACTGAAGACCAAGCACGAGTAACACCAACAAGTGGTTTGAAGGTCCCTTCATGAGAGATCATATTTGTATGGATTCTTTCTGTAAATTACCCACCAACTTCCTCGCTTGATCGTCTGCTACATTGGGTGCATTCAACGTAAAGGAAACTTAGAACAGCCCTCTCCGTTATATGAAAGACAAGTAAAAACTGCAAACAGACCACATGCAGCTTCATAAGAATACAATCTTCATATATACACTCAAATTGCGACAGCACTGTTTACAACTACTCTTTCCGAAGTCGCCATTGGACCTCATGTAAGATCTATCGCGTGGCCCAGAGCGATAGTTACAATAATCACAAAATATAAAGAATCGATCTGTGTCTTCTACCTTGATATCCCATGACGGCTTAGCCAGCAGGAGATCGGTCGCGAGATCCGCGTTTGAGCGGAAAGTCTCGAGGGTGTCTTCTTCCCCAAGCATTGTTTTTAGCACAGCAGGCCTGTCTGCAACAGCAGCAATAACCAGTTTCCGAAATTCCGCGTGAGCTGCTAGGTCCGTCGTCATGTACTTGTATATTACGACAGCAATCGCGATCCACTCTTTGCTATCGACTGCCTTGACAGTATCTGCAAATGAGCTTTTTGAAAGCTCGTAGAGAGATGCACAGTCGTACTTTTCGGCAATAATTGCAACTTGTGCATGGAGAAGCGATTTGGGGGTGATGGTGTCAGGAATGTCATACCCTGCATTGTAGAAGTATGATACCATGCACTCTATGGCTTCCAAAAATTCAGGGTCGTCGTTCAGAGTGATTACTCCGGTCTCCGTCTCCTGTATTGGATTGTTTTTAGACCCTCAATTTTCATTTTCAAATTGGATTTGCTTACCTGCATGCCGATAGTGACAGCTTTCTGAAACCATTTGGAATGACTGCATACAAGGGCTTTGTGAATAGACCACTTCTTCTCACCAAAGATCAGGGTGAGATCTGAAAGATTCCCGGCCTTTAGATATCTGTGAAATGTTAGAAAAAGCTGTAGGGAAGCTAAGATCCGGAGGCGAGGATGTGATTGAATAAGCAGGCGATGTAGATGTATGATAGAAAAACTTACTCTGAGAGATCGCGGACGTAGTTTGCAGCAGCCATAGTTGTTTTGAAGTTAGATCACAAAAGATGTTATGAGTTGCGTGAGGAGAGGTGAATGATGGTTATCTCTTATAGGTTCAAAGCTGTGATTGTTTGCTTCTCGTACACTATCTATGTTGTGTATCTATGTTGTGTAACAACCATGTTTTCAAGCAATCCAATGGCCAACACAAACATTCTCTCTCCAAAAATATCATTTCCTTAAAACTCCATCTTTACAAGAACCTTCACGTTTTCCGTAACAGTATCCTCCAAAGAGATCCACCCGTCTTGCCCACCCCACTTCTTCAGAAGGGCAAGCGGCTGGCTAAAATCCGCCGTTACTGTCAAGGTGGTCATATCCGGAAAGTCATCAATGAGTTTGCGGTCAGGAACAACCTTTCGCATGATGGAGAGGATGTCGTTCCAAGTGCAGTACTGAGCCCACGCTTGGAGACGCTCATTCTGGGTGTCAGGATCGAGAATGGCGGCGACGTGTAGTAGTGCGACGTCTTTGACGTTGACGCTAATTGCTAAATCAAACAAATCAGTAATGGGATATCCCTTTTCAACTACGGATATTACTGGATAAAATGAATTGAGATGTGTACTTACTAGCACGCGTGCCGGACTGAAACTCAATATCGCCTTGATACAATGCCCGAACATGTGCTGGCTTGACTTCAGCCTGGCTCCTATGAAGTGGCTCACCGAGAATGGCGGCTGGTGAGACTGAGTTGACAGCAAAACGAGGCTTCCGCTCCTTGACGAAGTCCCACATAGCCTTCTCAGCCGCGACTTTACTAGCCATATAGACGATCATCCCACGGGTTGGCTCGTATGGCGGAGGAGCCCAAGCTAGTTCAACGGCGGTCTCATTCCAAGTATCTGGTCCAACGTGTGTGTCGACACCGGGAACTGGCAGAACGGCCGCCACGATCGAGCTCGTGTAGACGAACTGCTTAACAGAAGATTCCTTGATTGCGAGTTCCAGAAGTGCCACCATGCTCGAAATTGTTTGCGGGATCACGTTGTTTGGATTCGGATCGAAGTCGACAGCGGCTGCTATGTGGGCTACTGCGTCGACGCCCCTGATGGCTTCGTCAAAAGCATGGTCCGCGGTAAAATCGGGAACGACAACGAGCTCCAACTCGCCACGATCCGCCCATTCTTTGAAGTTTTGTTCGACGAGCTCAGATGATTTTGCGAGGTTTCTAACCGTACCTCGGACGCGGTATCCACGCTCTAGGAACTGCTTCGCTGTATGAGAGGCGACGAAACCAGTGAACCCTGTGATGAGGATCAGAGAGCCTTTGGGAAGAGTGGTCTTTTGGTCAGACATTTTGAATGTGGATAATTTATTGGACAGGTTTGGAAGTTTTTTTTCCGGGGCGGTGACTCTGTAATGTCAGTTCTGGTGGATGCGATATTCTCTGAGAAATTGGGCTTTTGTCTTTAGCTGACCCCCTTTATATATTCATGAATCCTTGCGAGGTAAGACTATCCCTAAGCTGTCTTATAAATCACTAGTTCATGACAAATTCAATTAAACGATATAGAGAATGCTACTCATGGTAGTATCTGTATCTTTGCTTCAGCGTTATCCGAAAACGGAAAGAGCAATGCTTGGCAAAAAAAAATAGGGCATGAATTTAGAAAGCAAAGTATTACATTGGAATTTCTGATTACAATCATATATCCTAAATTCGGCAACGCTAAACACTAAATTGTGTACGCTAACTGAGGGCAATGCGGAATGCCTTGATGTACTCTGCCCCTCATATCTAACGCAACATCGTACATGGATTCTAAAAACCCGTCCCCCGGCAACATCTTAGGACCGCCTATCATACAAACTAATCTAATAGCCCCATCCATGTGCCGTTCAAACATAAGTGTATCACCGCCATACATCTAGTATCCATGCGTTAGCACGCAACATCACCACGGACGATTTCTCTTTCAGGATAAGAGTTCTCACCTCGTCGAAAGCAAGGGTAATAATCCTCACAATTGTATCGCTCTTATCCGGAACATCCTTTGAGATAGCATCGATGACAAATCTCACGCTTTCGAGCTTGTACCGTACCGCTAGTTCATGATAAACCTTACGGTCTTGTACACTTTTTTCTAGACGACGACATGCCGAAAGAAGAATTCCTCGTAGAAGCCCCTCGTTGCCGAGAGCAAGGTGCGCCCAATCTTTGATCATGCATTGGTACGTTTGTTCGACGCGTGGGAGCCATCGGCAGTCTAGGTTTATGATGGGTATTACAGCCGTCACAACTGGACAGTTAAGGTCAGTTTACTGTTTATGTGACGCTGCATTTGCGGGAGATAACAAATGTATGTGATTTGAGATTACTTGGTGAGCTTACTTACAGTAGTCAAGAAGGAAATGTTCGACGGGCTTGAGAGTGATTGCTGCACGCATAAAGGGTTCCCTTCGATTCGACGACAAATAATTCAGTGGGCTTGGCCATAGTTCCGTCTGGATCTCGACCTCATTACCAGTCAATGCTTTCGGGCTCGTATAGCTATAAAGGTTGCCACTGGTCGATCGTCCTTCTGCCGTCTGTTTATTGTACTCTCTCATGCGCGATACCCTGACCCGAGCATGAGCTACTCGTGCTGCATGCGAACGGATCTGTCGCTGAGGGTTGCTTGTTGAGCTGATACCGTCCGGCTCAAAATGCGGTATGAACTGTATGTTTGATTTTTGTCGTGCTGGCATGTTTACGTTTTTCACAGAGGGCTAAGTGAAACTTTGTCTATCGGAACAAGCATGTAGGGTACAACTCTCACACACAGGATTGTAAAATTACGCGTGGTCTGGATATATTAGTCAGTCATGGGGGCAGAAACTAAACACGCGGCTAAGATCGTGCCAAGCAATGCAGTTTCCAAATGCAGGAACGTGCTATATGTAGCCAAGAAAGATGAGATGATGTCCAATTGTACACTGTCTAGAATTTGTAAGCGCCGGACCATGAATATCTTGAAAAGCATTGCCTTACTTTGGAAAGACATACGACAACTTCAATCGAACCGGTCGGATTCTTACAAGATATGCTTATACATAACGCCATGCTCCATTTAGTTAGCGCCCCTTTATGCGAGAGTGAATTCGGTAGTTGTTGGGAAGTTAGATTATTTGGGAGAGGGATGCTGCCTCCCAAAAAATGATAACAAAAATCTGGTAGTTGCTACATATAGAACAACCAAATACTCAATCAATACATTCACGACAATCCAAGAGATTCCAAAAGGAAAACGGGAACTAAAGAGGAGATCGAACGTAGATTTTTGTTTGCACAGCATAGCTACTGTGTATCCTCAAGCTTTAGTACGTACCCATTCTCATCGCACCTAAACATCGTACCTCTGTCTACCTCAGTGAGCAAATCTAAAGTCCAATCGCCTGGTCCCATTGTCCTTCGTAGTACGGATATAATATAGTTGCTCCTGCTCGATGATCAGTACCTCAAAACCCAAAGTGCAGAATGGGTGCGACATGACATACCTCACGAGACATGGCGTTCCATTTC